ATAGATCTGAGCAATATTTCTATATTATCTTTTCCCTTGTGGAATGAACAACACAGTCTGTTGTCAAAATTCTGTCCTTACAATGATTCACGAGCACTGTATCCTAACAAAACTGCTGGGCAGCAAGGCACTATCCAGACACTGTGACAAAACAAATGAAACACAAGGAAGACAGTGACCCTATTTTGGAGGGCTTATAGTTTGTGTCAACACCGGGGTTTTTAGTAGATTGGTTTGATTGGTTAGCAAAATGAAATCACTCAAGTACTTTCTTCTTTGAGCATTCTGTTAGTCATGACTCTGTTAGTGTCATGAGCAGGAAAGACTTAAGCATGACTTGATTCGGTAAATTAGCAACAATCATCACTGGAGAGTGAGTAATAAAGAAGTTAAATGATAGCAATGCTTCTGCCTACATGAGACCTAAAATAAACCTACACTGATCTCTGTAAGGAAAATGAGGAGATGAGGTCCCAAATGAGAAAAAAAACTAACAAAAAATCAAAAAAGTAAAGACTTTTTCATTAATGTTTCCAGGAAGGAGTGGAGCATGGTGGTGAAGAGCACAGATGCTAGGGACAAACATGAGGGTCTGAGCTCCCACAGCACTGGGTAGCTTTGACACTGATAAGTCAGTGAAATCTTCTGTCTTCTATCCATAGACTGGGGACAAAATCAGCACCCGTCTCCTAGAATGGTCCTAAGAATAAAGTTATTTTATATACAAAAGTTTAAGTAAAATACCTCAGATATTAAATATTACCCCAAAAGCACAAGGAAAAAAGAAAACAGAGATAAATTAGAGTTCATCAAAATTTAAAACTCTGCTTCAAAGGACTCCATCCAGAAAGTGAAAAAACAACACACAGGAGAAAATTTTTTCAACTCATTTATCCGATAAGGAATTTGTATCTCCAAAAAAATAAAATAAATAAAAAAATAAATAAATAAAAAACAAAAAACAAAAAAACAAAAAAAACCCCCAAAAAACCCCCCAAAAACTCCTACAACTCAACAATAAAAAGGCAACTCAATTAAAAAGTGAATAAAGGATTTGAAAAGATATTTTTCAAAGAAAATATACAAATGGCCAA